AATGCTGTTTATTGCCCAAGAACAATACTGCGTATCTGGGGCCAGTTAATGTCCGTACCGCGTATGTGATCGGTTATCTTCTTGAGCGTAACTGTAGTATTGTTGTTAATTTGACGTATTGTCAAATTCGGTTTATAAATAAAAATAATCAACACCACATCAGGTGAGTTTTAGTTTTATTATCTATATACAAATGTAATAAAGAAAAAACTTTTTTTTGTTCTTTAACCATTTTTATAAAACTCGTTTTGCAAAAAAAAAAAAAACGTGCCTTCAAAAAAAGAAGATTAATCTTAATTGCCTCATTAAGATTAATCGTTGAAAAAAAAAAAACAATAATGCGCAATCATGTTTTTATAAAGAGAAAAGTGTTTGTTTACTTTTTTTTTTTGTCGATTAATACTAGTTTTTTTATTTATTTTTACTGTCTACATAATTGCATTACTATACCTTTTGTATAGGATTAGTCTTCCTACTTCTAAATTGAATATAATGGGAGTCTACTAGTTTTGTTAATATTGCCATTTTAAATAATTTTAAATAAAATTGGCATTTTAAAAAATTTCAGTTTAAATTTCATCTTAAATAATGACTGAATATTGTAAGATGAACAATTTGTACGTTAGCTAGTTTATATAAATGCAATATCACCAAAATATATAAATCATTATGAATATGATTTTTTTTTTAGATTAGATAGATAGAGAATAAAATGACGAATAACAGCAAACTCTTGTCAAGAAGATAAATTACATCAAGTTATGACATTGAAAGCTTTAAAGAAAATGACTGACACTTTACCATATTTTTTTGCGGAGTTTGCACGTACTGAAAACAATAGTTCACCAAGTGAATTACCAACTCTTGACTTTTCAGAAGATGATTCTGTTGCTGATCCAAATAAAAATCTCTGAAATAACAAATGTTGAACAGATAGCTTTCATTAAATCAATAGACAGCAATAACGATTTTTTTCATAAAAGAAATTTGGAACCTGAAGTAGCAGTTGAATCTAGGTCAAGGAAACGAAAAGCAGAACAAATTTCTTCAAAAAGATTTAGGAATAAGAACTTGAGAATGCTAGGTCATGAATACACAGGTTTTAGAAAGATTTGTGGGAAAAACTTTTACCAGACGCTGTAAGACCTGCGCGAAAACTTGGAGAGGCTTGTAAGTCAAACAAATGCTTACAAACTAATGTGATTAACTGCAAAAAGTTGACAGAAAGTGCAAGATTAAATATTTTAAAAAAATTTTGAGAAATGAGCTGGATAGCCAAGAAGATCTTTGTTTCATCTTTAGTTGATAACAAATTGACTAAAAGAAAAACTACTGAAAGGGCTTATACAAGGCGAAGTATTACGAAAGTCTATTATTTAAAATTAGATAACAACAAAATAAGAATATGTTTAAAGACGTTTTCGGAATACTGGGTATTAAAGAGTGGGCAGTTAGGTACTGTCTAGGAGAAAAATCTAATAGGGATACAACAACAAAATGTAATGGTAATGCATGGCCTTGCCATTCATAGAAAGAGTTAGTACGAATATTATTAAGAGCTGTGCCTAAATTACCTCCTCATTACTGCAGAAAAGAAAGTAAAAAATTGTATCTAGAACCCATAATACAGTCTAAACGTAAGCTCTATCGTATTTACGTTAAAAATGCTGCAAAAATGGACAGAGAGTGGCTTCCAGAAAACTATTTGAAGATGTTTTGAAAGATGAAAACATAGCTATGTTTCAACCTAAGAAAGATGCATGTGATCTATGTTGTTCATATAAAACAGGAAATATTACAGAGCAAGAGTATCAATAAATTGTATCATGGAAAGATTTAAAAGACCGGAAAAAGCTTTTGACAAAATAGCTGCGAAAAATAGAACAATTCACGTTATGACTGCTGATTTACAAGCAGTAAAATTATGTCCATACTTGAAAGCCAGTGCATTGTATTTTAAAACATAACTGATGGTTCATAATTTTACAATATACAATTATGGCTTTAATAAAATAAAGTGTTATTGGTCTGATGAAACAACAACTGATTTAAAGGCATCAACTTACGGGTCATTTTTTGTTGATTATTTATATAAAATAATTGATAAATCCCCAAAAGATGTCATAAATTTTACTGATGGATGTACATCACAAAATAGAAATGCCATTGTTTCGAACGCACTTCTGCAATTGGCAATGCAAAAAAAGTAGTCATCACACAGAAATTTTTAGGAAAGGGTCATACTCAAATGGAGGTAGATTCAGTTCATTCGGTAATAGAAAGAAAGTTAAAAAACGCAATCCAACTCGTATTGTTACGAGTTTATTTCGTGATATTATTCCTAAAACTTGCTCTATTGTTTCTAATTGAAAAGGCTGTACAGGCTGAGTAAAAGGTAAGATTAAAGCAAACAGTTATTGAAATGTTGTTACACTACCAATATTTATATTTTGAAGAGATTTCAGAATATTTATTTATATTTTTTTCTTTTTTAATTAAGCTTGTAAGGTATAAGGCTTCAAACAGATATTATAATTCATGTTATCGTTTGATTATCATATATTAATAAAGATACTCTTCAATGACGGTTTTCTCCCAAACTTGGGATAAAACGTCAGTCGCTTTTCAAAAGTTCTATACTCCCTTTTCATGGTTCCAGAAGAACCAAGGTAATTGCTAAAAAAATTATAAAGAAGACCTATTCCGGGCCAAATCAAGAGAAAGAGGTGCCATTTTTCATTCGACGAGGTTAACGTTTCAAAGGTCAGCTGCATTTAAACCATGAAAAAAGGCATCTAAATCAAACAAATGGAAGAGATCAACAGCAATTTTAAGCTGTGCTAAGGTTTTAGGGAAGCGTGGTGCCTAATCCTGAGCTCCATCAATCTCCATTAAAATAATGGGAACACGTTTTAATAAGCTCTGTAACATCAAAAGCATATGCAAAAACATTTAATGTAATGTGTTTTCCACTTCTTTTTTCATACAAGGATTTATCATTTTTTACTATTTTCCACAACTCTTGTGCGTGCAGATACTGTTTTTGTTTTTCAAGTGTTGGATACGGTTTTTTTTATACAATCTGGGAATTTTAGATAATTTTTCTCATTCTCTGCAAATCCGTACGGCATCTTAGTAATAATAAATAAGTTTCTTTTCGAATACGGTGAACTCAGTTTTCGAATAGAATGATAAAAGTTTTTTTGTTTTGTTTTGTTTTGGTATATTCAGTTACAATTTGTTAACTTAATTAATTGCCGTTACATTGCGTAATAAAAAGTATTGGTTTCCATCACCATTGAAGTAACTATTTTTTATAATTATCACAATTAATGTCATAAGTATGTTCATTTCGTTTCGTCTGTCCCTAACGATCTTAATGTAACGTGCCGTTAGAATTATCATATTCTTGCTGTTAAACCTTCCCAATATTTTAAAAGAAAAAACTAAACTCCAATGGACACTCTGTAATAGGCATAATACTCAATGAACGAACATGTTGAAAAGAAACAATCAAAAAAAGCAAGCAAAAAAAAAAAAAAAATTCAAAAAGTATTGGAACTATATGCAAAACAAGTGTATGTTGGATAAAGACTATTAATATAAATTGTGTTTATTTTTAACTTATCCACAGCTATTTTAGTTATTTTAATATCGTTTGGACAAGAACTTATTCGTCAAAACTAACACGTATCTATAAAAAACAAATACAAGTAAACCTCCTTACATTAAATGTTAATAGTCCAGTAGGTATGCATCGTCCGGGAAACGTGAGACGTCTTACGAACGTCCTCCGGACGACGCGTGCCCACTGGGAGATACACTATCGCTAGTCCACTGCTTAGAGAGCTTGAAGTGTTTATTGTAAAAATAAAATAATAGTTACTCGATTATAAAGTCTTAAATCTAATCATTCCTATTCTTATTCATAGGAAAGAGAACTAATGAGAAAAAATGTCAAACAAATATTAAAACATTTGTTTGACATTTATTTATATATCTATATATTAAATTGTTACAAATAATTATTATATTAATAATTGTTTGTAACAACTTAATATATATAAATAAATGTCAAACAAATATTTTAATATTTGTTTGACATTTATTTGTAGTCTATTACCTCAATTAAGGTTAGCGCAATGGCTTTTAAGTGAGGATTCCTCGTGTGAAATTAGTCTCTTAGGTAATAATTTAGCTATCATTTACCGTGTGATTCTCCAAAAGGAATAACTTAATCCGCAATCGCTAAACGTTATTCTGAACGATTGTTAGAAGTTATTGTCCAGAGAGAAATTGTTTGCGTAACAATCTTGACATCAAACTATCTTTTTTTTAATCCCTTTTACGCTTGATCACAAACACTAACTTTATCTTGAAATTTTACTTTAAGTTATATACTATTTATATTAGAAAAAAGAAAAAGTCAATCATTAAATTAACAAAAGTGTAAAATAAATTAATTCAGAAGTTTACAATTTTGAAAGTTTAAAAATAAAAAGTTCTGAGGGAAGCTTAGTATATAATGCAAATTAGTAAATAAGTTTACAATTTTTTATAAGTTCAATTACAAAATTTTAACTAAAAAAAAAAGTTTTGGTTATTTGACTGTAACTTTCAATGTTTATTCAATAATAATGGTAAAACAAAAATATAATAATTTTATGTACTTTTCACAATAAATTAACTTCTAGCGTGTTTTTTTTATATATCTCATGAGAGGATGTTGTTAGAGGCAATCCATAAGTATTCTCACTGAGACCACTGAACGAACAGCAAAATGTCAGCTTATTTTGTTGATTGTTTTGACATTATTGTGCTTCGCAAACTCTGATATTTTAGCCTACAATTTGAAATAGGTCACTTTGTCCCAGTAAATTTTTTACCTTACTCTACTCTTTTGAAAATAAGGCCCTTTAGAACTCAATTTAAAAAACATATAATTTTAATGAACATTTTTATATACTCCGTTACAAGACTGCGTAATTTATACTAAGTAGTTTAAGCAAAAAATATTTTAATCTAAAGGTGCTGAAACTCATCTACAAACGTAATTACAATGTTTCTTTAACAATAGACAAATTTATAAACTTGATCATAAAACTGAATAATTTACAGCAATAGAATTAGTTTTCTTTATTTTTTCAAACTTTTTTTAATTTTCATTTAATTTTTTTTCCTAATATATTTTCAATAATAAAAACCTAACAAAGTTGTGTATTGCAATCGTCAACTTCAATACTTCTTCCAAGTCCTTTTTCTTTACAACTTTTACCGGCCCCTTTAGGCTCTGGATTGTTACACATTCGAGTGCGCTCTGTTCTTCCGCCCCCACAGGTCTTGGTGCACTCTCCCCAGTTTGACCATTCACTATATCCGCCATCTACATCGCATGGCTGAGTATTACAAGGTTTTACATCTTCTGCATTCCCGTGTCCTTGTTCCATACAAGTTTTTCCTCCATTACTTGGAGATGGTGAATCGCAAGCTCGTATTCTAGAATAATATCCACCATCACAAGGTTTAGAACATGTGCTCCACTCTGACCATAAACCATAGGCTCCGTTAACTGCGCAAGTTGTTTCACATTCGCGACTTTCGGTATTACTTCCATGTGATGAACAATCTTTACCGCCATTACTCGGAGAAGGGTTGTTGCAACTTCTTTCGCGCTTGTTAAGTCCCTTTCCACAAGATTCCTTTTAAAGAAATGATTTTTCATTTATAAATGATTAAAATAATATGATTAAATTATAAATTAATAAAGGGCATACTAAAGCTGAAATATAGATATTTGAAAATAAAAATATAAATTTATGAAGCGTTCCATTACCGAGCACAATGACCACTCAGACCATTCAGAAAATCCACCGTCTACTGGACATGCTTTTTCATTGCATGACTGCAATTCTTCATATGGCCCCAAATTTTGTTCAGCACAATTTTTACCTAGAAAAAATATTTTCAAATGTTTATTTAAACTGTTTCTAAGTTACTTTTTTTTTAAGTTGTAATCGCGATATTTATTTATTGTATTTTGTATGCCATTCTCAAAAATTAGAGCCTCAGGTAGTATCCACTAATTTTTTCTATACGAGTAATACGACTTTACTTTAATGTTTAATTAAATTAATCATTGTTGTGAAAACTGAAATTATGACAATTACTTAGTTTACCCAAGTCCCATTTCTTTATGTCATTTTCTTATGTCATTGGAAATATTTATTTTTAATTAATTTTAAACATTAATTTTTACCAGTTCTTAATTTATTCTTTTAACCGATAGATAAGCAAAAAATATTTTATCTTTACTTTTAGACGCAAACAAAAAGAGTAGGCCAGTTACTGACATTAGGGATATAATAATAGTTATTATTGACAAGGTGGTTTGTACATATGACTGATATAATAAAATCATAGTTTTGGTCATAATCTGGTCTGTATTTAAGCCGACCTGAATAATATTAACTCGAAAATGTCGAGGAAGGTTTTCAGTATAACCTAAATAATTTGGTCTAAAACAAACTACATTAAACATATTAGAATCACTTTAAATTTTTTGATTACTCTTTTTTTGATTTCTATTGTGTTACGGTTCTAATACAGTTAAATAACGTTTCAATAAGAAAAAGAAGCAAAATAAAAATTAGTATAACTAAAAACTTTAAAATTTTTATCTAAAGCGGGGAAGACCAGGGCTAGTTAGCAGCAGGGGTAAGTTGACGAATTGCGTTTATCTTCAGAACTTCTCAACCAAAAGTACTAGAAATTATCAGAAACCTTCCTAACTGACCATTTTATTTTTCACTGTCGTACTTAAGAAAAGGTTTATGCGTGTTGGAGATATTATGGTTTACGTATTTTTCGAACAAGTACATAACTTTTGAAACATTACTTTTAATTTAAGAAGAAAATAGTCGAATATGTTGAATAAATATTATTGTAAAAATTTCAGTCACAATCAATTTACTATTTCAAGTCAGTTTGTTTTTCAATAGATGCATTTTTCAGGATCTACAGACTGTTTATTGAAAAAAAGGTTTTTGTTAAGGTAAGGTAAGTAAGCAAAATTTTTACGGGGCTAGTTAACTAAAATTTATTTTTTAAAAACAAACTAATAAGAAAATTTTCAGAGGATATTTTTTACCTAGAAAAATAGTGGGCTACTGTTTAGACTTATTATATAAACTAACAGCTTCAAGTAATATTAGATTTTTAGTTTTATATTCTTGTCTAAATAATTTTTAAAAAAAGTTTAATAAACATTGTACCTGATAATACATTAATATTCATTTTTATATTTTTTGCTAACTTACTCCATGGTCCCATCCGCTGATAAAGTTGAGGAACTTCTTTTTTTCTTTTTTTTTGAGGCTAGAAAATGCCTCAAGCATTTTTTTTATTTTGTTGTATGAATTCTTAAATACTTAAAATTACCTCATACTCTTTAAGACTCTTTAATATTAAAAAAAAATATGCCGTTAGTAGTGAAGCCATTTTTTACTGCATAGCTACAGAGCTCAAAGACAGAAGCAACTAACCGCGGTCTCATCTACATATTTTTCTTTCACACATTAACGTCATGTTTTCCTAGTAACCATGTTTGTAACTTTTTTACAAAAAATTAATTGAATAGTTAAACTAAACTCTAGTTCAGTGAAATAGTTAGTTAATGTGGTTAATGATAAGTTAGGAATAACTTATTATTATTTTTATATATTGTTATATTATGTCATTATTGCTATTCTTAACAACTAATTGCGTTTATCAATAACACGTTGTAACAAACTTTATCTTTTCTTTTTTTAATGAAAGCAGAGTTGCTTGTTTACAAGGCCAAAAGTAGCTAGGCCAAGGCCAAGCCACACGTTACAAGGCCTAAACCAAAGCGAAATGTGATAAGGCCAAGGGCAAGATTTTTAAGGTCAAGGCCAAGATTAAGAGTTTCAAGGCCAAAGCCTACGCAAACATTTTCAAGACCACAAACTTCAATTTTTGCCCGACTTTAGGGCAAATTATTAACAAAACTGTAAGTAGCATGTGCTGTGACAATACAACCACATTTTGTAAAAATAGACCAAAGTTATGAGCAGAATTCAACGAAGTCAATAAAAAAATGTTTTTTTAAAGGCCAAGGCCAAAATTTTCAGGACCAAGACCAAGGCCTCAATTTTTGACCTTAAGGCAAGGCCAAGGACTAACAACATTAGTTTAAAGTGTGATTTCCCGTTTGGTTGAAAATAAATAGAAAGAAAGCGTTGTTCTATAAATATTTTATTAAGGAAGTAACCGTTGTTTTGCAAAAACATTGCAAAGTAATCTTTGTTTCAAAAGATATTTGCCAAGAAAGTAACCGTTGTTTTGCAACGATCTTTTAAAATTTGTGTGTTTTTAAGAAAGTTTTCGATGTGTATTGAATACTGAGCATTTTTCTAGAAAATCCCTGAACTGCAAGAGTTTTATAAAAGGTTTAAAAATTTTCTTGAAAAGGTTTTTAAAAACTTTGAAGGAACTTCCGTAGCTATCTAAGACTTTCTCAAACTGTCCAAAAGTCATAAAAGTATAAAAAGACATATGAATCCAACCAATATTTTAGTTAGTGTTATTGGTGAATAAAGGAACAACGTATTGTAATTGAAGATCAATCATTTAATTTGAATGATATCATTATTTTCATCCAACAAATGCATTTTACAACTTTATACAATTTATAAAGGCAAGATTAAAAACAATACTTCTTGAAGCTAATCATAAAGTGTGCGAGGCCTATAAGATATACTTTTGCTAGCCTATCTGGGATCAGATAGGCTAGCAAAAGATAAACAAGTCATAAGTATGGCGTTTCACATGCGGATAATGCAAGAGAACATTTAAGGTAAGCTGAATAATTTCTTCTCGCTTAGATATGCTTTATTTTGTAAAATTTTAATAATTTATATATATTAAGTTCATTTTAAGTTTTCATAGAGATTGAAGCACTATAGAAAAGTATGCTTTATGCCAATATTATGAAATTTAACACTTTACTTAATATCACATGTTAGTAAAGTGTGAAATTTCTTGCCTTCAAGTTTATAAATTAACTTTATGTGCTATATAAATTCCTAGCCCCCCCCGGTTGGGGAGGGGGGCTAGGAATTTGAAGGAGCCCTTTTTGAAAATTAAAATTATGATATAGGTGTTTTTTATTTATTTATAATATTAAAACTTCGTATTAACGTTTGCTTATTTTTTCGAATTCGGTAAACCTAACAAAATGATGCATGTATTGACATGCATACAATGATGATTGTATTGACTGGCGAATACAAAGGAGGGGGTGGGGATTAGCCCCCAAAGAACTATCAAACTTTACATTTTTATTAATAAAAATTAAAAAATAAAAAGGAAAATTAAAAAAATGCTGTTTTAAAGTTATACACACATTTAATATATATACCGTATAATCTCTCTAATTCGAATCTCCTTAATTTGAAAACCTCCATAAATCGATTAAATGCAAAGTCACCGTGAAATATCCTTATGTGAAAAAAACTTTCTGTAATTCTAAAATCACTCTAATTCGATTTTTTATTTTCCCCATTTTTGTTCGAATTAGAGAGATTGTACTGTATATATTTGCCATTATATAAACATTGTAAATGATCAAATCAAATAGTTGTTTAACCTAAAAAATAGGGCCCTTTTTTTTGTTGTTGTTCCGACTATCCTCCATTAGGACCATTCAGTGACCTGGATCCGCCATTGATTGTATTGCTGAGTTAGTGGACGTTTTATTTTAGTAAAACTTTCGTTTAGAAAGTTTTGTTTTTATTAGTTTAAGTTAAATCTTATGAAAAAGATGCTAAATCTTATGAAAAAGAAAAAGAGTTATTACTAAATTAGTCTACGCAGCGCAAAGATACAGCTGTCGATTTTTAATTTAAAAAGCAATCTTTTATTCAAAAGATTGCCTGCCCAGGCCAAAACCCTCCGTCTATGTATGTACGTTCCACTACACCAATCCTTAGATAGTCAGTCGATGTATACACGCTCCACTTCGCCAATTTCTAGATAGTCAGTAGACGTGTGTACACTAAATTGTGTTTACCCCTATATCAGGATACAAGTATATATTTGCAACCTATAAAAAGAAACAATCAGATTTCGCTACTTGCTGAATTCCGATTGATTCATTAATAGTCACAATGACTATTAGTGACTTTAGGCACAAAAATTAAAGCAACAGTACTGTTGCCCTAGACACAGCGTTTAGTTAAATTACAAAACATCAAATTATCATTTAATTCCAATTTTTTTTTTTTCTTCTTACTTTTTAATTTTATCGATAAAACTTTAAAGGTTGACAGTTCTTAGAAGTGCGGGTGGGGCGGTGAGGAAAGAGTGATTTTAAAAACAAATTACCCCCTCCTAAACCGGGGGACGGGCTTGACGTGTTACAAGGGCCCAAAAATTTTTTTTTTTTTGGGGGGGGCCTACCAACTGTCTGGCACGGCACTGGCTATATATAGAATAGAAATAGAAACTATTTATAGGCAGTTTATATCGGAGCCTCAAAGTATTGTTACTCTACAACAGAAGAAACTATCTATTTTAATAGTTCACTCTGTACATTTTGAAAAGAACTCTTTCTAAGTCAAAGCTCAATCTTCTCCATAGTTTTCCTCTCATTAGCTCTGCAATTTCCAATTGTAACTATTGGTTCCATATCTATCACCAAAACAACTCTTCCATATCTATCACCAAAATAACTCTTCCATATCTATCACCAAAATAACTCTTCCATATCTATCACAAAAAAATATTTTGTCTAACGCAAAAGCTATTCTCTGGTAACGAAATATTGTATTTTATCTCAAAAACTAGGCTCCCGAGACTTCTGAAGAATCTTTAACAATGTCTATAATAAGGGAAAAACTGATATTCCAGCTCTTTTCTTACGGTGTATT